GTCGCCAACTGGATTTAGCTCCATTCACCATTCTCTGCTAGGGACACAGAAAAGATGGTGATGGTTTCATTGCTTTGTTTGTGACAAAAAGAAAAAGCTTATTAAAATCAAGTTTTTTCCACTACAGAAGCAGACTTCTTTTTTCTGCTCTTTCTCTGTGACTGCAAGGTCAGTTGATCTCTTTCCTCTCTCATAAACAGATGGTCCAGTGAATATAGACTTTTCTTACTTTCTGAGCAGCTGCTGAAGTGGAGATTATGTAATAAGTACCACTAAAAAAAATGAGGAGAGGTGGGGAAGCTATCACTGAAAAGATTTTACGCTAAGTGGGAACCATCATGTAGCATTTTTTCACAGCAAAAAGGAACTATGCCAGTGTGTGTAAGGACAGACCGGTGAAAAGTATTCTAAACTCATATAAAAAAGTTCTCACTGTTAAGACATTTTTTTCCACTTTAGAATTTTGTGCTATGCAACCAATATCTTGGAGAATGTGTTATCTGCTTGAAAAAAAAGTAATGTGTTGCTCATTAATAAGTTGAGTTTTCATGATGGAAAACATGAAGTCATACAACATGTATTTCTCTCTTAAATTAATAGATGCTGAATGTTTTTTTAGCTCATAAAAATGTGTGTTTTGCTTTATTTCCCTAGTAAATGTCTTGTTAGAGCAAGTTTACAAGCACTTCCAGGGCTTTTGTAAAATAAAGCAGTCTTGCAATGAATTAATGTTTTTCAAATTAAATATGCAGCAGATAACTTTGCACAATGACACTGATTTTATAAATAATTTTAAAAAATATTTTGGTTTTCATACCAAAAATATGATCACACTGAAACTGTTTGGATACTTGTTATCACTCCAGTCAATCTGGATTTTTTTTCCCTCTCAAAATACACGACTGGTCTCTCATAAGTAAAGCTGTGTTGTTTTAGCTGGCCAGACAAAGTCAGGCTGTTATTCCCCTCTCCTATTCCCATTTACTGCTACAGCCACTTTTTTCTTTATTGCTTCTACTGAAGCGAGGAGCACTCATTGAATCTGTCATGTCAATACCCTTATGGACAACCAGAAAGTGTTTCAAGATTTTCAACTCTTACTAGAGCTTTCAGCATGTTCCTTGTCAAGTGACTGATCATTTTAAATGATCTGCTAATAATCTAGTTTAGAACTGTTAAGCCCTTCCAATTTTCTACTCTTTTATGCAGAATTGGTTGGTTTTGGCTCTGATAACAGGTCAAGGATAATGCAACCACATGATGTTGGATAAAATGGCAGTTTGCAGCTTTGCATATATGTAACTCATACTTAGTCAAGTTTCTGGGTACAATGTCCCCTATGTTCACAAGTTCAAGATGCCAAGAAAAGAGGGTTCTTCCACTGGGTCTGCAACTTACCTGCATGCTGTAATTTAGCTTGGGTTCTAGATTATTCACAGTGGATACACTACACTGGACTGTAGTGGATTCTCATTCATTCATCAATGATATATTATTATTCTTAATGGTGAGTAATTCCTAAATCACTTCCAGTATCAACTTTTTTGACATCTTTACATAACAATTTGTAGCTGTTTGGTTTTTTTCCTTTAAAACAACAGGTTTTTTATCTGAATGTGTTTCTTGCTTAGAACTGAAATTTTATTTCTTTTTGTAAAATCTGTTACAAAGCCTGGGGTAAAGATCATCCCAGAACCGTGCTGTCCTATGATGTAGTTTATTCTACTGTGAATTCCAGAGACAAGGTACAATTTATCACAGCTTATCTTTGGTCTTCATCTTCATTCTGGTCTGTCAATATTGCAAATTGTAGCTTACTGTCGTGTGTCTATATACCAGAGCTACCTACATAATTTATATCCCTTCGCATCTAGTTAGTCATTACAAATTTTTGTCACAAATGTTCCTCCCCATATTCCCCTTCTCAAATGTCCTCTTTCCATTGTGGTATCTCTAAGCCTGGCTTAGCCTCTGACTTTGCAGGCAGACTGCCCATGAACAGTGTTTTTGTGTGATAGACACCCAGCACATCACTGAAATATATTGGTAAGCTCAAAATTTCTTTTCTGCCTCTCAGCTCTTTTTTTTCAGTAGCTCTCTTTTTTTTCAAAGAGCATTTCTAATTATAGAAGTTTACACATGCTCTGCAACCCTCCTTTTGGTGGTGTTGGCTCTTGTTGGCTGTTCTTGCCTCCCATTTTCCTTTGGATACATTCTCCTTATTGCTTAGTTTCAGTGTATGCCACATCTCTTCCCTTTCTTTTGTTCTCTGGTTTCTGCATTAAATCAAGTTTATTTTGCTTGCTTCTCTGCCTGCAGGCACCACAAGTTTGTTATATAGAAGAGGAATCCTCTAAGACTGGCTTCATTTGTTTGCCATTACAAAGCAACTTTTCCCTAGTAAAGGAAGCTTCCCGTGACTTTTTTTTCAGCAAAGCCCATCTGAGCAGTAGACAGCAGGACCTGCTTAGGGTTTTCCTTTTAGCTTTCTGACTGTTTGGGTCTTGCTTAGTCTCAAACTGAAGAGCCAGAAAAGGCAGCATGTTCTCTTATTGATAGACTTCTAGAGATAGTTTGCAAAAATCATCTGTTGTGAAGAAAAGATAAGCCACCAGCCAGCTCAGTTCTTGTTTTCAAAGAGGGCTGAGGCATGTCTATGGTCTAGAGCTCTGTCTAATGTCTTGCAGGCTTACCAGGGGCGGTGGATTTAAATATAAGCAGTTTACTGAAATAATCAGTATTGTCTTCTGTGACTATGTCCTGAGGTTGTGTGTATGCCCACTTTGGCTTCACTTATTCAGTGGCAGCTGGTCTTTGCTATCATGAGTGAGATTTTCATGGTTGCTGGGTTGTGTGGGATTTAGGCACGTAAGCCTGAATTTTGTGAGAAATGGTGCACTGTAAGCTTGGCTCTTTTTCAGTCAACAAGTTCATTGAACAGTTTTAGATTGCCAAAACCTATTTAAAACAACATTTGAGGACTTTTGTGTTAACACAGAAAAACGGATGTAGAGCTGCAGAACCACTCACCACATGATACTCTGTACGCCTTGGTTTTTGCTAGCAAATAGGAACAGTCATCCTGATGGTAGAGTGAAAGGTGGTGGTAAGTGATCCAGGAACAAAGCACTGTTCTTATTCTTACTGCATTAAATGATCCCTAGGTTTCCTATTGCTGTTTCCAGTAGGGAAGAACGATCTTTTATTTCCTCCCCCTGTGCCTTCAAAAGTGACAAACCAGCAGTAAGCTGCCTTTGTTTTGCTGTTATCATAATACATGGAAGTCAAGAATAGTTTCTTGTCTTCTGATCAAGTTTTATTTTGTCATTAGGAGTGATTAAGGCTTATTTCGGTTATGACAAGTTGGACTTTCTTCTATCTTGTGCACACTGAAATAAATTGCCAGTTGACTCTGGTCTTACTGACTGCCTTGAGCATGTACCACAGGAGCACTGTCTGTTTAACTAGATACAAATAAGAGAAGAAATAAAGAATTCAACTTTGCTTTCACTCTGCAGAGTTGACACCTGAGGAGAAAGCCATGAGGATTGCCAAAGCTATGCGTAAGCAGTCATCAGAGGTAAAAGAGAAATGGGAGAACCTAAATGCCAGTGCCAGTATCTGGCAGAAGCAAGTGGACAAAGCATTAGAAAAACTGAAAGACTTGCAGTGTGCCATGGATGACCTCGATGTTGACTTGAAGGAGGCTGAAAACGTGAGGAATGGCTGGAAACCTGTGGGAGACTTGCTCATAGATTCATTACCAGAACACATTGAGAAAACTACAGTAAGTATGGAATGCCTGGGAAATCTTTAACCTGTGTGAGAGTCAGACCCCTCCATTCTAATGCCACTAGTCACATTAGTTATGTATACACTATATATTTAAATTTTCATGTAGTGTTTAAAGTGCTTTTTAAAGATTAGATCTGAGGTCTCAAAGAAAGTCCAGTGCTGTGCCACATTCACTGTCAGCTGTGATCGCGTAAGTACATGTGATCAGCCAGCTACAGATATATACAGAATATTAATTCTTGAAATGAAAAAAAAAACAAACCAAAACTGTTCTAGGATTTAAATATTTCCTCCTAGAAATACTGTCTAATCCATAGTTAGGCCACGGGTGTGTTTGGAACTTTGCCCAGGCACTGTAGTGTGAACTGAGTCAGTTATCATCCCAGCAGTTGACAATAGGCCCCTCTCCTTTTTGTAGTGCTGAGCTGTCAGATCTGTTTGGCCATCATCTATAGCTTTCTTCTTAGAAAAACTTTTAGAGGTCTTTCAGTCATACAGAAGTATATACATGGTTATAGATGGGTAGAAGTCATCCCCTGCTTAGCTGCATGGGTGGTGTAGAGACCCAGTAAAGCAGAGCTCCCTAAAGAAAGAATACCTTCCGATAACTAACATTGTCCAGGAAAGCTGACTAGAAACAGCAGATTGCTCGTGGGAGTGCCTAAATATCAGGGATTCCAGGAGGACATGTGAGTAAGCACATGCAGATAGAGAAAACTGCTGTTTCACCAAGCTTCTGTTTCACAAACACAACTTTTCAGATACTAACCTCAAGAATAAGTATGGCAAAATATTAGAAGACCCTGGAGTCATGTACCTGACCGTCCATGTCTTCAGCATGGGATTCTGCTGGTGTTAGAAGAATGAAAGGCCATGGGCTGCTGATAGTTTTCTGCAAATGCTTTCTTTATGTATACCCAGCCTGTGGACTCATGAAATTAACACAGGGCTGCATTATTTCATGTATATCAGTGTAAGCGTCCAAATGCTTCTTTCTTGCCTGTAGGTTCCTTCTGCTCCTAGGCCTGATGAGGGAGATTTTGATGGAAAGCAAATAATTGAATTGTCCAAAGAAAATCTTTTTTTTTTAGTTGTTTCTGGTTTGTTTCATGATGTTTAATCAAGCTATTTATAGGATTGAACAATTAACTGTCCACAGCATGAAAGACATTTGATATATCTTCTCAGCTGTAACTAAAGCTTGCATCAATTTTGTCTTAGTACTGTATTTAGTTCCATTTGATTCAATAAACCTTTTCCTTCTTTTTAATCATTGTAATAGTTTTACTCTACGGTTCTAATCAAGTAAAACATTGTACTCCTTTCCCTTAGAAGACACATTCCTTCATGCTTTACTAATTCAATAATAGTTTTTAAATTGAATTTTTGTCAGCTGCTTGATACTGGAAAACCATAGTTACTTTTTTTGGTTAAGAACATTTGACAGGCTGTGTACTGCTAAAGCTCTTGATGAAAGACTGCATATTTCTTTTTGGAGAAAAAAAATCTTTAAAGCCATATGGCGCCACAAAAAAAATCTTGTTTAAATTGTTTTAGGTCCAGAATTTGGATATGGGCATTTGGGTAAATTTCTGACTGTTTTTTTTTTTCTAAAGGTGGATATGCGCAGATGTCTGTTGAACACAAATATGTGCTTCTTACTCTTCTAGGCTTTTAGAGAAGAAATTGCTCCCATCAACTTGAAAGTTAAAACAGTGAATGATTTGTCCAGTCAGCTGTCTCCACTTGACCTTTATCCATCGTTAAAGATGTCTCGTCAACTGGATGATCTCAATATGCGGTGGAAACTTTTACAGGTATTCTTCTGAATGTGAACAGCAGGTGGGGAGCACGGATGCTTCGCACTCTCTTCTGTTCCCTTAAAAGATGCATCATTACCATTTGGTCATTATTTCTTTGTGGTGTTACTTTAGTCGTACCAAGGCAACAAAAGGAGATGTCTTTCCTTCTGTGGCTTGACCAAAAACTTTTCCTTTCAACCTGCCTCAGCAGTTTACAAACGAAAGAGTCTGCATTAATTTCTGGAGACCAGTGGAACCTATTGCTGCATGGTTTTTTGTATGTCTCATAGCAGTATTTTTACTGCATAAATAATTGTTACTGAAAACTGGTGCACATATTTATGTTGTATTTCCAGCTCCTGTGAGTGCTGTTTTATTTTGGTTTTGAATGTTCAGTTTCTGCGGGGAATTTCATTTAAAGTTACTTAAGTATTAGTAGAGCTATAACAAGATGTAAGCAACAGCACATTTAGCTTTATATAACAGAAGAGGTTATGCTGTGAGAGATATTCATATTGCTTAGTTAGGATTATTGTGCTTAAATGGTCTGAAAATGGTAAATCAGTGTGCCTGATTACAGTTCAAACTCGTGCACAGTTTCACAGTGAATGATTTAATGAAGTTTCTTACATCAGTTGAAGTTCACTTATCAATTTTTGTGCTTTCTCACTCTTTTTTTGGTAAGAAGTACTTCTTGTGAGTCAGCTGTTATTTATTTCTCTGCCTGGTTTTTAAGGGTGATATTAACTGTCTGAAAGAATTGGGGGAAGGATGGAGAACCAGTTGCCTCTCTAACTGAGGGCAACAGGACTGAATTTTCAAAACCTAGGCATCAGCTTCTGGGCTAGTAATTTAGAATTATGAGAGGCAAAACTCTTAATATGTCATATCAGTCCTTCACTTTCCTAGTGTAGTTTGGTACTGTGGTGGGATTTTGTTTGTTCGTTTGTGTGCTCTCACATTGAGTTTACTCAAGACCGCTGCTAGGTGTGCTAGTGCAGTTTCAATTAATAAACCCAGAGGGATCTCATGTCAGCCAGTGAAGTGGTGTCTTCCAAAATGGTTCTGTGCTGGAAAGGCAGCTGTGAGATCAATACAATCAGACTGAGACCTGCTGACTTTGGAAATTTGGACAATGGAAGTGTTGGGAGGAGGTCAGAAACTTCGGCAGTCAGCTATAGTCACTATGAAGCCACTAGTGTTTATTATTGATCTGCAATACTCGCACAAGGGCACTGCAAGATATGAACATGACTTTCATCAAGCAAATGAAAGAAAAAAATAGCCTTGGATAAATGAATGTCAAATAAGTGCTATGGCATGCAGACAAATATATTTAATTAAAATTGAATGTAAACAAGAGGTTTTGTTGTCATGGCCCTGGTGTTATGTAAATGAAATGTAAATTTTGTCAATGTGTGTTTATGTGTAGGTGTCTGTAGAGGATCGCCTTAAACAGTTACAGGAGGCACACCGAGATTTTGGACCTGCATCACAGCACTTTCTTTCCAGTAAGTTCTTTGTATTAGTAGGTGCATGTGAGATATGATGGCTTTCTCAAACACTGACTGCTCTTTACTCCAGGTTTCCCTATGGCTTGAGGAACAGGAAGTTCCTCTTCCATGTTGTTATCAATCTCCCTGTCTTTGTAGGGGTGTTTCATCTTCATAACTTCACTGGCTTTCTTGCTGGTGTGCTTTCCTCAAGGATCACTGCAATATCTTGCGGAGTTATTGTTATGTCCCTGGTTGTTTTATTCTTTGTCCTCTGTTTGCTGCAAAGTCTGACTTGTGGCTGTTCCAGAATCTCTTTTATATGTTCATAAACACATCTTCTCATTCCCCACTACCTCTTTCTTTACTTTCCTTTTGCTTCCACACTTACTAGGACGACACAGAGGAAGTGCTGCCTGGATTATTTTGTTTGTTTGTTTTATCAAAGCCTTCATGTCATATATTACTGGAATTTCAAATGAAAGGGTGGGGGAAGCAAGCCTGCATCACTTCCTCTTGAGATCCACCCTTGTATCTTTTTCTGTTTAGTGAAAATTTTAGAGATGTAAGCTTACAATGTCCCATATGTTCTCATTTGATGTTTTCATTACAGATAATAGGTTGTGATATCAAGATCCATGTTGACTTTCTGAGGTTCTAGCCTATCTGCCATCATCAGAGCTGATGATACAAAGTGTTAGCCCAATCAGCTTTCTGATTTTTAACTAAGTTTTTCAATAATAAAGACAAAATTATTGCAGGAGTTGATAAGTAAACATAAAAAGGAGCAGCTCTGTCTCAGAGTTTCTCAAGTGCTGTATGTCAGTGTATAGCTAAACAGCTAATATAATTTCAAACAATAAATAAATCTTGATTTCTTCTTGAGTTATGTGACAACCATGTTCTTATTGTAAATTGACAGCTAGTTTTTCAGTAAACATAATAGTATACAAGATGCACTGTATTTAAAATATTACAGCTGTTATGCAAAATAACAATTCCTGGAGCCACATTGTCCATTATTAAATTGACAGAACAAACAAACAGCTTTGAATGTATGTGGGTTTTTTTTGTTTTGTTTTAAACCCCAGCAGAAGTATTGCATTGTGTTGCCACAGTGGTTTTGTAGCCCTTCCAATCTCAAATTTGTTACCTTGACCTGGACCCTACACCTATGTAATCGTTTGCTAGAAAGAATACAGATAGAGTGGTACCTTTGGCACTGTTGAAAAACACCAGATAAACTGTTTGGGAGAGCAGTCAGTCTAGTCTTTGTAATTCAAACAGACTAAGAAGCAAAGTAGAGAAGATGCAGTTTCACGTACTCTAGCTGGTTTAAGAAGTTCCTGACTTCACTCCTGTGACACTGTTAAGATTGTTCACCTTTCCTCACCTGGACCAATGCAAATGTTCAGGTTACTGATCTGAAAAAGATGATGAATTGGTGAAAGAGTCCATATGTAAAACAAGGAAGCCTGCCAGGCAAGGTTAGTTTGATTTGTTTGCCATGACCTGGATCATTTCCTTGATATGGCTTACAGCATGCAACAACAAATAATTGCATTCACAAGACTAAGTGGTGAATTGGCTTTGTTACTGAATAAAACATTCATAGAATTATGTCCAAAGAGACTATGCAGTGCCTTATCAGTATGCCTCAGCCCTGCTTAGGTCATCTTCTCCAGCCTTAAGGAGACATTCAGTTTATGTTACATAGAAAAGCCAAGAAGGTGAAGTTTCCAGAATGCACGTTGTTTGATACTGTAAAGAGCCAAGTACCATGGTCCTGCAAAACCAAGTAATATGCAGTTATCCATTTAATTTTTTTGTTGTTGTTAAAAACAACCAACCTCCTTCCCCATGCAAACTACAGCAAAGACTTAAAAAAATCTGTTTTAACAGCTTCAACTAGACAGTTACAGAACTTAAAACCTCCAACTTTATATGAACTATGTTAAATGAAAGTCAGGGACAGTAACTTCAAAGGGAAGGTAATTAAAAAATCATTAAATCTGGAAAAATTAAGGTTTTATCCTGACGAGTTGAAATAATGTGTATTCTAAATCAAATTTTTAAAACCTTCTTAGCAGCCATAATTGACTTCTATCTGTGAGGAACAATTAGAGTGGTATTCTAAATAAAGTAACCTCAAAATCCTCAAACTGAGATTATGATACCTATGTCTTGTGCAGATCTTTATCTCCAAACTTGCACTTCTGAAGTAGAGGCAAGGTTTTTATCTGTGCTCATTTAACAGCAGCTATTTTAAATTTATGTCACCTACCTGTTACTTTTCTTCCAAATCCTAACAAGAGACCATGGCCTGTCATTACACCATTTCCAGCTGACTAGTTCCCAGTTGTCATTTAATCAGTAATTTGTGCTAGCAAAACACCTGCTTCTAACTGATCAGATTTATAGAATCAGAGAATAGCCCAGATTTAAAGGTACCTCAGAAGATCATCTGATCTAACACCTGTTTAAAAACCTGGTAAAATGAGACACAGCTTTGATCCACATTGGATCTCAAGTAATTAAACTCCCAATTAATGTCATTTTCTGCAAGCATGGCCCACTTTAGAGCTCATGTCTCTTTGGAAAAGACAGGTTTAAATGCGTTTTTTGTTGGACATACAGTGTTAATCAATATTAAATTGAGCTGCAAATAGGAGCTAAGAGTTGTAACTAATAAAAATAAGATTGATATTTCTCCTTTTTGTTCTGTTGCAGAGTATTAATTATAGTAGTGGAAACATTATTTTCAAAGCTTAAATTGATAATAATTCTCTAGATGTAGGAAAACCAATGTCTACATTTTCCCTGGATGGATAGCTTGCTTGCTCAGAATTTATTATCCTTCTTAGAAGCAGAATCACCACATTTATTTTATTTCCACCTTCAAATAGATGCCTAGAATAGTCTTGATAGATTGCTGTTGTTTTCTCCAGCTGATTTTCTAATTACTGAAAGTTGTCTGGGAAATTTTAATTGTTCCCATTTAATTTCTTTTAACTGATTTAACTATAAGATAAATAATAAAATACTAATAATTGGACTTTTTTTTATTTGGTGGGTTCATTTTAATAATTGCCTTTTCTTTATTTCCTCAGCCTCAGTACAGTTCCCATGGCAGAGGTCTGTTTCACATAACAAAGTGCCCTACTATATCAAGTAAGTGTGCCTTGATTCTTTTTCCTTAAGCATAACAGAGGGTCTTATCACCATAACCTGGCAGAAAAACATAGGTACTAAGTAGTAACTATAAATCTTATCAAGAGTTTTTCTACATATACAGTATATGGAGCATACCACTATTTTCATGTTTATTGCTTTGCATGCTGTACAATTTAGAAATACGTGACAAGAAATCAGTGGCAAACCCAAACTAAAAACCCCACTCAGATAGGAAACAGCAGATGTGCACCAGTGTAATACAGTATCAGTATTCAAACTAGGCTTGTTCTTATGTGTGTGGCTCATCCAAAGTATAAACTCTAGACTAAAGGCAAGAAAGCTGAATACATGATATATTTTAAAAAGACAAGGTTTATAACCTGTTGCAGAACAGTGGTGATTAATATCTATGGAGTCTGTTCATAATTTTGTGCAGAATCCCTTCAGAAATAGGCATATGTTGATTTCCTTTGGTCATTTTCTTTACTTTATGGAAGTTTTTATAGAGCTTGAGATTAATGTAAATGTAAACTTAACAAAGATTGACAAAAACTGTACAAATACCTTGGTTACCAAGAGGAATGGTTGAAATACTTATTTTGAAAATTAGAAATACTTAGTTATGGAGGTATGGAGATTTTGAAGTGTTCTACATGGAGAAATCCTTAACATGGGTTTTCTCATTCCATCAGCATTCATTTATGTACTGTTTGCCAGTACTTTAAATGTCAAAGACTGCAGCTTTGATAGAAGGATAGCTTCATGCCAGAAAGGTGAATAAAATTTTAAGAAGGTAAAGTGTATAGTAAGCCAGATCCAGAATAGTTGATTTTAGGCTGAAAGAAATCTGTGTTAAGATGTTATCATCTTGAATTTGGAAAAAAAAGTAGTTTTTTAAAGTCTGTAGGATGACTATGAATTGGATCTGCAGACAATTCTAAAAGAATGTCAGTGAAGACTTTGTACTATTGCATATTGCTCTGTCATAAATCTGAGAGCCACATTTTGTGCTTCAAACAATTCATGAGTGCTTGAGAACTTTGAAAAGCAGGTAACAATAAATCTATGTCGATCAAACCTGTTGGCAGCATTCTTGAGATGTGACAGTTGTTTTTAAACTATGATATGGAGATTAAATTTTTTAAGAGTTTGAGTAGGTAACTAGAAAAAAGAAAACCCTATTGTGAGAATCCTGGAATTCTCTACAAAAGATTTTGTGCTTCTGCTGAAAAGTTTTGCAGGAGGCAACAGAAAGCTGTGGCACACTGGAGGAGAGGTTCCTGGAATGGAAGAGGAGAGGGCAGAGGTTGGATGTGGATGCAGACTGACTGCCCAGACTTGGGCAGCAGTGCAATTAAAATGATCACACCTACAGCAATAACTAAAAAAGAAAGAAAAAGAAAGAAAACGCTGAAGTATCAAACTACAGAGACCAAGAGGAAAACTGCTCTGAAATGGTCTTTTCTTCTTATGGGTATATCATAGAATCATAGAATGGTTTTGGTTGGAAAAGTTCTTTAAAATCATCAAGTACAACCATCAAACCAGCCCTAGGTCCACCACTAGACCGTATCCCTAAGCACGGCATATTACTTGTCTTTTAAACATCTCCAAGCATGGTAACTCAACCATCTCCCTGGGCAGCCTGTTTCAGTGCTTGACAACCCTTTCAGTAAAGAAATTCCTCCTAATATCCATTGAAAGATGGCAATTCACATTC